TGATTTAATTTGTAGAAAAACTTACAACTTGTTTGAGGTAAGGGATAACGTTAAGTCCTTTGTCTCTCAGAACATCGTATCCTATTTGGTTGATCTCATTGTATAGAAAAAGAAAACAAATTCTCATGTAGTTGGGAAGTCTTTCAACATGGTTCACATCCCATCTGGAAAAGAGTATATTATATGGATTATAACTGATATTATGGCTGTTAACAGAAATTTTTTTTTATCGGAGACACAATTTAGAATATGACTTTTTTATACCATAAATCATCTTAACAAGTTTTCAAATATTTGGTTATTTAAAAGTTTCTTATACTTGTAATACGATATACTTACTTTTCGACAACATTTGTGAAAATCTCGAGCTCCTCTAATGTACCATAGATATCGTAGATATCATCCATAATCGCAATTAACATGAATATTTTGGTGAGTATCATTCGGCAGTATTTAAACTCTGGCTCGTAAAATATTCCAATGGTCCAAAAATAACTCTCTGTGATTCGGTCTCTCACGAAATCAAGTTGTTTCATAAGTCCTGTGCTGTTCCACCAACTAAATTGACAATCAAATAATTAATTAACTCATATAAACATATATAATCCACTTTGAGATATATATATAAAATTATATAATATGTATAGAATTTAGTTCAGAATTACCTAGAAACTAGTTTAAGTTCTTCTTGATGATTAGCTTGTAACATGTTGAAATCAGTTGCTGCAAACTCAAACAAGAGAGGGTTCATTTCATGCTTGTGTTCGTACACATTTATGTACCATCTTGCTTCTAACCTTCGTATGCTCCAATGGTACGGCGTCTCTAGTGCTCGTTTCACCATCTCAAATATATAAGTTTCATCTTCTCTGCAAATAGTTTTGCTACTTTCCGCGACAAACTCACTTAATCGCTTTTTTGCATAAATTCTAGTGTCCTTGAGTTTAAACTCCGAACCCTTTGAAAAATAAGAAGCTTCGTATAGAGAGAGTAACCCTTTGATATCGCTGCATAGAGTTTTTCTGAATACTCCGGTCTCACTTATGAAAACGTCAAAAGCATCTGCAATAGGAAATACAAATACTTTTATTATTTATACGAAAGAATTTGAACTACTCAACTCCTTTACGAAAGAATTTGAACTACTCAACTCTTTAAGTTACTACTTGGTATATATAGAAACGATTACTTGATTAGTCACAACCATGTGACTAATCCCAAAAAAAGAAAGATTAGTCACATGGTTGTTAAACTACAAGTTATTATAATAAAATAAATGAGGTAATATGTTAAAAACCTTGCGAGACATCAAAACCATGTTGCCTTAGGAGAAAAAATTCAAGTGATGTAGCATGAAGATCTTGTGCTTCCCTCACAATTTCGCCGCGTTGGTCATGAATGTTTTTCAAAATTTCATGGATTTCGTGTTTATAGTGATATGAGATTCCGAGTCTTTGCAAAGAATCGATCATTTCCAGCTGCTCAATAGTACCTTCAATTTCACCTAGTGTCTTCCTCACCTCTTCTTTCAACAATTTAGCTTTCTCCGCGGTTTCAGCTTCTTTCTATATACCGAGAGAGAGAGCATTGTATAGTAATTAATATAATATACTATTCAGGTCCGATTTAAAGCATATGTTAAAAACAAAAAAAAGTTTTTAACGCCATTTTATGGGTGAAAAAATTGGATTTCTTATTACACAAACAAATAAAAATCAGAAGTGGTATAATTTTAGGTCATGCATATGGAGTCTTTGGAAACGTTAGATTATTGTCCTGATAATATGTTTGGATAAATTGTGCATGAATAGGATGCAAATTTTGTATGTACCACATATATATTCTCGAGTGAGAGGAGATATTGATGATCCCATAGAGGTGGACGATAACTGGCAGAACGGCGGCGGACGGTGACAGCATGAGCCGAGGTCGTTTTGGAGACTGCGTTACAAGGGAAATGCTGAGTGTTTTGATGATGAACGTTGCAAACAAAAGCTGAATTGAAGCAGAGATTGTGAGCAGTCATTTGTACAGGTTAAGGGAGTTGATAAATAAAACACAAACACTTTGGTCGCTTATTTTTTGTCTCTCTGTCAAGCACTACACTTGATGTACATATTTATACACGTAGAGGCCGACACAAAGTTGTATCGTTTAAATCAATTGAACTATATACTTGTTCTATTTTCTTTAAACTACGAAACAACTGATTCGTATATCTCTCACTTTTTAATTAAGTTTTTTAGAAAGGTTGATTTCCTCACATGAGATACACAATAAGGTTAACATTTGTATTCATCATATTTAACAAATTTAAAAATTATGTTCATCATTACATTTAGCAATAAAATTTATATTAAATAAGATACGCACATACATATTATAATTTGAAACACGTTTAAAACAATTCGCGTAGGCTCATACGTACCTATTTTGTTTGATATTACATTGAAAATTAGGTCATAAATCGATATAATTAAGAAAACGAAGTATCTCCATTAACCAATGATAATAGCTTATGTACCAAATATGAATCCAATTGACCACTAAAATAACTATGGAGGATAACAGATCTTATAAGAAGATTAAGACTTCAGTGGACAAAATTACTTCATGATTAATATACCAACGAAAAAAACGACATATAAATGATTTGGAAATACGACGAAATATGGGACACAATTTCTTTTTGGGATTACAACTGTAGATAGTTTTGTATTTATTTGATTCTCCAATGACAAAAATAAAAACCGTACTCAGTTTTGCATATTCAACTAGAAAAGTCTAAAACATACTTGTGGAGTTGTTACTTGTTATACGTCTTTTTTTTTTGATTTTTGATAATACTTGTGATACGTCTTAGTTTTGCTAACTCTCGTTTTTCACAATAAACATGTGTTTTTGCTAGTGATCGTTGGATTCATTTATACGATTTTATGTTAAAGCCAACGACCAACTATAGTCGTTGCCTCGTTGGGACGGTGATTTTTGCATCACTTAAAAAAAAATGGATAAATTAGTTAACTATTAATCGATACTACCATAGGTATACTAATCGATCATATTAACAAATAGTTTACTTTTTGTGCAAAAATAGTTTACTATTTATACATAATAATGTTTTTAGAATTTATCAAATGATGAAAAATTTATTGTACTCAATAAAAGTGCGTCTTAGAAGAAATTAAGGGGCCTTAGTCAGAACTTGAAAGCCCAAATAGTAGTAGTCTCTTATGGGCTTTTTTAATATTAAACAACAGTAGCCCAATTACGTATAATATAAAGGTCCATTTGGAGATAAAACCCTAGTCTTTCACTTTAAATCAGGAACAAACCCTTCACTGCGCCAGTCTTGTGCGGCTCTGCGAATCTTCGAAAATGGGTAAATAGTTTTTCTCCATCTTCCGTCTAGATCAAATCTCTTCGTTTCGTAGATCGATATAGCTTCTCTTTTGTTGTTGAAATGATGTTTGTGTTACGGATCTGTTATTGCGAACTACTTATTAGCTTAATGATTCGATTGATTTAGGTGCGTACAAGTATGTATCTGAGCTATGGAGGAAGAAACAGTCCGATGTGATGAGATTTCTCCAGAGGGTGAGGTGTTGGGAGTACAGACAGCAACCTTCGATTGTTCGTCTCGTCAGGCCTACTCGTCCTGATAAGGCTCGTCGTTTGGGTTACAAGGCCAAGCAGGTGACTTATTATACCCTTAATTTGAGTGTTTTTGTTTCTTATTTGTGATCACTGTTGTTTAAATGTCAAATGGGTTTTGTAGTTGTTGATTGTTATTGGTAACATGAGATCTTTGAGTGTAGTAGATAGTGAGATTTTTGTTGATATTGATGTGATATATGTGTATGATCTTTAACATAAGTTGCTTGATTTTGATGTTTTTGCTGGTTATGTGGTTTCTTGAAAAATGCATATCACCAGCTACATTTAAATAGCTAGTCAGATATACACTTGTTTGAAGATCTAGCTATTGGATTTACACTGCTGGAGTTACATGTTACTAATATAGTTGGGTTGATCATGTATGTCAGGGATTTGTTGTGTACCGTGTCCGTGTGAGACGTGGTGGACGCAAGAGGCCAGTGCCTAAGGGTATTGTGTATGGTAAGCCTACAAACCAGGGAGTGACACAACTCAAGTTCCAGCGTAGCAAGCGGTCTGTTGCTGAGGAGCGTGCTGGCAGGAAATTGGGTGGTCTCAGAGTTGTCAACTCTTACTGGCTCAATGAGGTATAGTTACTACCTTTTTTCAGTACTCTTCATTTACGCGATTCCAAATGTACAGATATTAACTTATCAACTGCATTCTATAGGATTCGACGTACAAGTATTACGAGATCATCTTGGTTGACCCAGCACACAATGCTGTGCGTAATGACCCGAGAATCAACTGGATCTGCAACCCAGTTCACAAGCACCGTGAGCTCAGAGGACTTACCTCAGAGGGAAAGAAGAACAGAGGTCTTCGTGGAAAGGGTCACAACAACCACAAGAACCGTCCATCTCGCAGGGCTACATGGAAGAAGAACAACTCTCTCGTCCTTCGCCGTTACCGTTGATTGCCTTTTGCTTTTATTATCACTGTTATCATCTTCTAGGTTCCATGTTGTTGCACTTTTATCTCTCTCAGGATGACTTGTTTTTTGCAAATTTTGGAGACTATACAATTGCATTCGGATTATGCTTTGAACCTAAGTTTTATATTTGCTTGCCTTTTGGTTTATATCTTAGTCCGGTTTTGGAATAGAATTATCGAGACCGTTTTGCAATGCAAAACTATATTATTTTTGTGAATTGAATTAAACTTGTAATACAAAACTATATTTTCAATTCTGATCTCTAAGAAAATTTCACCAGCTATGTTCTGCAAATATTTTCTAAATGAGAGTACATGTTATCTTCAATCAGTTAATAATAAATTAAGGTTACCTGATTGTTAATTTTTCCCCAGTATCATGTAACCTTAATTTATTAATTTCCCCAGTATCTTGTAACCTTAATTTATTACAGACTGAATCATTTCAAACAAAATTAATTATCCTCTCAAACGTCAGGAAAAAGCTTTGCTATTATGAATAGATTATGTGACACAATGTACCCTGACAAAAGCTTTGTTTCTGTTGTATTTGGAAACAAAACACTTGTTTTCGTATTTCTGCTTAATCATCAGGGAATCCGAGGAACCTGTCGATAATGCGGGCAACAGGAGTTCCGTCCCCTGGAGTATATTGAACCAGAGACTCCAACTCCATTTTCGTCAAGGTTTGATGAAGGGTGTGAGGATGAGTGTAGTACAAGTGCTTCCTCTCTTCAAGTGCTTCAGCTAATTCACATTGATGATTGTCCATCAGATCTTCGTTGACTACCACAATCAACGGTTTCCCGAGTTTTAGTGTCTCGAATATGCTTCCAGATCCTGGCACCATTGAGAGTTAAATGACATTATAATCTAGCATTTCGAAACTGGGTCTCTGGTTTTGACTCTATTAAATGTAAAAGTGCTTAAATAGTCCCATAACTAACCAGCGTGACTAATAACAAGAGATGCAGACCGAATATAATCAGCGATACTCGAGGAAAATGTGAAGTAATCCACAACTAATGATCCATCTGCTCCATCACACTGGGATCATTAAGAAGAAGAAAAAAAACACAAATGAGAAGCTTCATAGAGGCACGATATTCAAAGGAATCTGATTCAATACAAAATTCAACAAGAGAAGAGTACAATTCAACAACAACAACAAATATAGAGTTAAACCCAATTTTCATAATCACATCCAAATCAAAAGCAATCAAATAAAGAAGTGAGTTTAAGAAGATGATTAAGAACCTTATTTGGGAAAAAGATTCCTCGACCCATTTGAATGAGAAGATGAGTAAATCCTCTCTTCTGCAATTCGTCTTTAACATCTTCACTAACCACTGCTTTCACAAGCGCATCGAAACTCGTTGTTCCTACAGTTACAAACACTACTCTCTTCGCATTCTCTCTATCCTCCATTTTTACACCACTCGATTTTGTCTCTGGGATTAAAGTTTATACAGTCACTGCGAATTTTAAAAAAAAATCGATTCCCAATTCCAAATCAGATACGATTAAAACGGAAGCAATTGAGGATTATTAATCACTGTAGCTAGGTCCGATCGACACATACCTGAGGACACGCGAAAGCACCGATTGGTCTTAAGAGGCAGATCCAAGAATCTTGCTCCGATCTATGGCGTGATTTGTCTCCTCTGTCCTTTGCTCTTCCACTCTGTTTTTATTAACGGCAAACTACTGTTTCGGATTATTTGTGCTGGTTTGTAATGGGCTTTGGCCCAAAACTAACTATTTTTTTTTTCTTTTCAATTTATTATTAGCTTTGACCTATAAAGTGTTGTTCTTCATAAAATTAGAGCTTAATGACAATATATCTTGACACATAAAAATCCTGATTATCTAATGGAGTTGGTGTCTTTGACAAGATAATCGCTGATTGATTCAAGTCTCGTGGAATCCAATGGACTTAAAGCTTTGTCCTCCAAACTTGTACATAAGTACATTCCTTATCCAATTATGGACCAGGAAATTTAAGTTTCTCCCATGGATTAAGTCATGAAAAACCTTACAAGTTACAATCACCTTCTAAGATGATCTTATATTTCCGCGACACATTACATTTTGCATCGCCGTTAGGGTAGCTTGGATGTCTGCTCCCAAATCGAAATTCGATGTCTTTTAAAGTTGACCGTTGCAATATGATTATTAAACAACAAAGTACAAATTATTAAAATTACATGTCATGATTGTCATTTTATTTACTAAATTTTTGAACTTTATACATTTAACAAAATTTCACATTGATGTACTATATGCAAAAATGACTAGTGGGCTGCTGTCCCAAAAAAAAAAAGAATGGTGGGCTATAAAAGAGCTAAAATTGGCCCAATTAGGATAAAGTGTCATTAGTCATTACCAAGCGCACAAAGAACGAAGTCAAAGTCAAGAGGAGTAAACGCTGTCGTTGAAAAATAGTTTGTTTACTCAACAGTCAACAACAACCCTAAAACCCCAGAGCAAAATTAGCGGACCGGAAAAAACACCATGAAACCTCGCTTTTCTCATAATGCCTACTTTTTAGCTCGCTATTCACATCTCCGTCGCTTCCACCATAGTCATCGTCGAACTTTCAGCTCTTTTCTCAACAATATCCGTTCGAATTATTACGGCACTAGCGCTTCGTCTCTCGGCGGCAGCAGCGGAGCCGGAGGCGGAGGTGGTGGAACTGGAGATTCCAAAGGTAACTACTCATATATAAGCTACGAAACTTAGATTTTGCGCTCGCGAGTTCAATTTCTTAGATTACAATTTGAAAAGATTCTTAGGAAACACTTTGTGAAGTTCCAATTGGATTACAGTTAGATCAATTCTATGGTTTTGAGCTTGAATCATTCTTGCACTCAATGTAGGCAATGCTTTTCTTTTACCCGGAGCAACAATGGCTACTATCCTTATGCTTGGAGCTCTTCATGCCCGCCGACTCTATGAAGACAAGAAGGTAATGTAGTAACTCACTTGGTAGGTAGACATTGGCAAGGTTCTTTACATAGATTTTGGTACATCTTCTTACCATTGCATTCTACACAGATCGAAGAGAAACGGGAAAGGGGAATCGAACTTGAGTTCCACCCAGATGTTAAAGTAAATTCCTTTTTGCTTTTGTTATCTTCAACTTCAATGTCCATTAGTTCTTGAATCTTAATGTGTTCATTCGTGGGATTGTGGTTGTCTAGGCCTCGTTCCTTGGAATTCTGCCTCTGCGATCAATCTCAAGAGCCTGGGGCTCCATAATGAGTCTGGTGAGTTCTTCTTGTTGAAGCATTTTTGGTAACTGTTGAACATGGTTTTCAATTGTTAGGTTTTCTTCTCAGGAAATTCCGGTGTGGATGCGTCCGTATGCTTATAAAGCATGGGCTCGAGCTTTCCATTCAAGTATGATCACTTTCTTCTTGTATACGTCTGCTGTTGGTTTGACTCTAAGAGAAAAAAATAAATAAAGTAATTCCCAGACTGATCTAGCTGTGTTTTCAGATCTTGAAGAAGCAGCTCTGCCTCTTAAAGAATATGCTTCGTTACAGGATTTCTTTGTCCGTAGCTTGAAAGAAGGTTGCAGGCCTATCGACCCCGATCCTTGTTGTCTGGTAACTGGTAACAATGAAGTTGTAACTTTCTTTTATGCGGATTTTTTTTTTCTCTTAGTTTTGCTCTCTAAGATTTCGATGATATCAGGTTAGTCCTGTGGATGGCACCATTCTAAGATTTGGGGAGTTAAAAGGAAGTAGAGGGATGATCGAGCAAGTCAAAGGACATTCTTACTCAGTACCGGCTCTTCTAGGAAATAACTCTCTGCTTCCAATGGAACCTGAAGGTAAAGATGAGTCTGAGGAAGAAGCTGTTGGAGATAAGAGCCACAAATCTTGGTTGAGAGTCTCTTTGGCATCTCCAAAATTACGAGAGAACATCTCAGCTAGGTCAGTCAAAAATCAACCTTAAACATTAGCAACTTTAGTGTTAAAATAACCGCAACTTATTTCGTCGAGTTTTTGTTGCAGTCCAATGAAGGGGCTCTATTATTGTGTGATATACCTAAGACCAGGGGACTATCATCGAATACACTCTCCAGTTGACTGGAATGCAATGGTCCGTCGACACTTTGCAGGTTTGGTTACTCTCTATCCTCTAACAGCCTGTGTGTGGTTGGGCTTTTGCAACAATTTTTGGAACTGATGTGTGATTGGACTATTGGTATCCTCTCTATAAAACCAATTTCAGGCCGGTTGTTTCCCGTGAACGAGCGTGCTACAAGAACAATAAGGAATCTCTATGTCGAGAATGAAAGGGTAATTTTTGTGTTTCATTGATCATCTGGCCTTTTTTTGTGTCCAGACATTGGTCATCAGCTGTTAATCTAACAGGTTGTGCTTGAAGGGATATGGAAAGAAGGTTTTATGGCACTTGCTGCTGTTGGTGCTACCAGCATTGGATCCATTGAGGTAGGTGTGATGAAAATTGAAACTTTAATCCCCAGACATTAAGGAACTTGCTAAAATTTGCTTTGATAGCTTTTCATTGAACCTGAGCTAAGAACAAACAAGCCAAAGAAGAAGCTATTTCCTACAGAGCCACCAGAGGAGCGGGTATATGATCCAGAAGGTCTTGGCTTAAAGCTCGAGAAAGGGAAAGAGGTAAGAGTAGGTCCAAAAGAGAGAATAAAAGTTCCAATTTAAGAAATGTAACAAAGTTCTTTTGTCTGAATGATTGGTAAATGGCTGCATGTATGGGTCGATGCAGGTAGGTGTATTCAACATGGGATCTACTGTAGTACTCGTTTTCCAAGCACCAACCGCAAACTCACCCGAGGGTTCAAGCAGTTCTTCAGATTACAGATTCTGTGTTAAACAAGGAGACAGAGTCCGCGTTGGACAAGCATTGGGAAGGTGGAATGAGGAATAAGTAGTACATGGCGTTAAGCACTAACAACATACCACACTGTTGTTTTATTTTTGTTAGGTTTCGCAAACACAATCTGACCAAATCTTCAATCAATTACCAAAAGTGTTTATGCATGTCTCTACTTGAGGCTATACTTATAAACAAATTTTGTAATTGTCCTAATCCTACCTATTGAAACCCATATCTTCTATTTTGTAGTGTTTTGAAAGTTTGAATATAGTAAACACGTCATTAGCATTTCATTTACCGCAGAGAAACAGAAAAGCAAATAAAAAAGCAAGAAGAAGATGTAAAGAGCATAGCTCAGTATTATACAGATCTGTAGTTAATGAAAACTCTAGCCATCGAATGATATCTTTCCACCAAAGAGAAGAGGTTGTGTACATAATAGACCTTTGAATAAACCTAAACAAGAAGATTAGAGAAAAAGAACTCACATTTTATGGTTTATGAATTTGATATCGAAAGATCTCTTACAAGCCATGTAAAAACAAGAATTCCACCATAATTTTACAGTCGTCCAAATCATCAATATGTCATCATCCTTCTCAATTTAGTGTTGAAATCAACCACAGCCTCTGGCTTCCTATATCAAAACTTTGTTCCTGAAAAAAGTAAAGATATCAGATTATAGTACCAATCAATCGGTGAGGATGATAAACTCCTTGGTTACTTGACTAGCACAAAAGGATCACCTTCCAATATTAGCCTAAACAAGCTTTAACGAAGAGGAGCAACTATAATTTTTGATCATCTATCAACCATGGATTCCCCACCTGAACTCGATCCAAACAGACAAAGTACACTAAAGCATTCAGTATCTACAAAGCATTGACAGGGCAAACTAACATTTTCAATAAAAGCTTTCGGTCTATTTTCACTGGAAACATACATATCATTTTACATCTCTTCAACATTCCCAAATAGTAAGGATTAGAGAACAATGCTAATAATTCACTTCTCTAACTTATTCAATTTTTAGTAGACTTCAAGCTTAAAACCCATGGTTATTTGATATCCTACACACCAAGCTTATGTTTTTAATTTCAGGGCAAAATAAAATGATGGTTACTGCTCAACACACCAAACTTGTTACAATACTGCCCAATTTTGGATCATTCTAATACATCCATGTAAAGCAATCAACAACTGATTCTAATTGTGATTTTAGACTAAGCCTACAACAAACGTGAAGATACCTAAAGCTGTGAGTGTTTTAGCAGATCCGAAGAAAGAAACACAAAAGAGTGAAAGAGAAAGCACACCTACGTCTGTTTAGAATACGAAGACGAGAAGGGGACGCGTTTGTTGCGGAACATCATGTAACCAACGGGTAATACAACGCCGATCATCATCACCGCTGCTCCGATCAAGTACCGTAACAGACTCGGAGGCTCCACTTCTATCACCGTCTTAAACTGTAAATCCGTCGGAGGCGAGAAAAGAATTATGAATCAGCCAAAAAAGTTGAGCAAGACAACGGCAAACATGGGGAAACGAAAAGGAAAAACAGAGAAAGAGCGCGGAAATTAGATCTTTGAGATCTAGAGTTACACATTGGGTGAGGAATTTACCGGCATTATAACGTCGGAGAAAAGGATTTTGCCGGTGACGAACCAAAACTTCGTTGTGGAAGAGAAGAGATCTAGACTCTCCGGTGAGATTCGTCAGGTGAGTCTCTTTTCTTCTGTTTCCTCACTACTTATAATGGGCCTTTATTTTACGGCCCAATTTTATTTCTTAATGGGCCTAAACCCTGAGCTACCTACCACTTGCTGACTTGCTGTATGTATTTACTATATTTACTACCCCTCCGTTTCGTAATATAAACCGCTTGGCTATTCATATTCCGACCTGAGGAGGAAGACTCTCGCAGCTACTCAGGTCTCAGGGTATTGAGCTACTACTAGGAACGGCTCTGAAGCATTTTGGATAAAAAAAAAAAATTTCGCAATATAAATCGTTTTCAAGTTTTTATGCAAATTATATATTATTTTAATATTTTATGATTAGTTATATTATGCAGTCTATTTTATGATTGACTGGACTTTTTAAAAGTAGATCTCTTTAATCGACATACTTTAACTGAAACGACTTATATTATGAAACGGAAATAGTATTACTTTTTTTATTAATTATATATTATTTTAATATTTTATGATTACTTTTTTTATATTAGAATAATATTTATTGTGATCTTCACTGTATTTTTTTAACAAATTCTATAATTTGGAGTGTTCACTTGTGTGATAGAGAAAGAGACTATAATTCTCGGGCTCGCTAGACAACAAAAAAAGGAATATAAATTGTGGGTTGTAACGTTTATTTATTTATTTTGGTTTTACTGTTAAATATTTTGGTTTACGAAAATTAGATACCCTTTAGAAATAGGAAAAAGGATTGCGTTATCTCCAAACTGTGGACCAAAACTGCATTCAGTTTTTGGTAAAAGTTGACTAGTTGAGTGTGTACAAAGCATAGATCAAGATTCATGCAATGGGAGGAGATGGTGGTGCTGATCCCGTAATTCACTTTGTGTTTGTTCATGGAGCCAGTCACGGAGCTTGGTGTTGGTATAAACTCACCACTCTTCTCGACGCCGCCGGATTCAAATCCTCCTCCGTGGACCTCACCGGCGCTGGCATCAGCCTCACCGACTCTAACACCGTAATGGACTCTGACCAATATAACCGTCCTCTCTTCACTCTCTTGTCCGATCTCCCTCCTCACCACAAAGTCATACTCGTTGGACATAGCATCGGCGGAGGAAGTGTCACCGAAGCTCTTTGCAAGTTCACAGACAAAATCTCCATGGCCATTTACCTCGCCGCTGCCATGGTTCAACCCGGATCCATCCCTTCTCCAAATCTTTCAAACGTGAGTGTGACTCTTTTACAAACTCACCTCTCCTTTTTCTTGTTGTGTTATGATCCAAAATAATATATAGAAGATATAGATCAATCCACTCGCTATTAAACTCTTGTGAGTATTTGATAGATTCATGTGGGAGAAGAAGAAATATGGGATTACATATATGGTGAAGGTGCCGACAAGCCACCCACTGGCATCCTCATGAAGCAGGAGTTTAGACGCCACTATTACTATAGCCAAAGCCCTCTTGAGGTTACTCTCTTAATCACTTCATAAATTATGTTTCAACACTAATATTATTATCTCGTGAATAAATATATATTTATATAAATTGGTAGGACGTAACTTTGTCATCTAAGCTGTTGCGTCCTGCTCCTGTGAGGGCCTTTCAAGATCTTGATAAGCTGCCTCCAAATCCCGAGGCCGAGAAAGTTCCTCGAGTGTACATCAAGACTGCTAAGGATAATCTGTTTGATTCTGTGCGTCAAGACCTTTTGGTGGAGAATTGGCCACCTTCTCAGTTGTATGTCTTGGAGGAGAGTGACCATTCTGCTTTCTTCTCTGTCCCAACTACCTTATTCACGTATCTCCTCCGTGCGGTTTCTTTTCTTCAACGATAAACTTAAACGTCAATCTTTAGTGACAATGTGTGGTCTCATCATCCTTCCTACATTCCGATTTGATCATAGCAATCTCATTGGTATGATTTTATTTAAGTAGTTTCCTTTTATGTTATTTGATTTGAGTTTGAATAAGCTTTACATGTGAAGCAATCCGGGGTAAGAGAGACAGATATCTCCTTGTAGGGGATTATTATTCGTATCATTGGTTTCTTTTTATCAATAAATCTATCATAGTAGCTAAGCTTAACTTTCGTGTTGAGTACTTGCTTTGTTCTTGATGGATGAGGTGAAAAATAATGTTAGAGATCTTATTGAACATGACCATGAGATGAAACGGCGAAACACCGGCCCGTGTGATACTACTACTACTTACTAGGAAGTGGTTTCAAGCCTCAAAATGAGATGAATCCTATGACATGGCATTGATCAATGCCTCTGCGGATAATTCTTGTTATATATGTACTGTTTATTTTGGCTCCGTTTAGATTCACATCTCTTTAAAAAAATATTCAAGATTACGAGATCCGAAATTTAGATAATATTAAGGGGGACCTAAAGCAAAGTTTTGTTTTTTTCTTCATAAAGCACGACCATGTTCTCAAGTGTATTTCTTTTTTACGGATAACCATTAACCACAAAACTTATTTGGACCACAGACGAAAGAGGAGATTAAATTCACTTCTCTTTTTCCTTTTTTTTTTTCTTTTTCTTGAACTAGCTTGTTTGAAAGACTTTTCAGCTAGAAGAAAAGAGAATATAGAGACGTCGGTTTCGTCCAACACAGAGATAGACTTGTAATGTTATCTCCAATTTGTGGACTACACTGCATGCATACACTTTGTGTTAAAAATTGAGTGTTAATACGCACAAACATAGATCGAGATTATGATGGGAGGGATGCGGTGGTGATGAGTCTGTAATTCACTTTGTGTTTTTGTTCATAAGGCCAGGCACGGAGATTGGTGTTGCGTCAATATTACTATAACCAAAGCCCTCTTCAGGTTACTATCTTCATCACTTCAAATTGTATCCTTGATTTCTTTGTTAATAAATTTACTAGATCCGTATGTGCGGGCTTTTGTTTGTATTTGAAATTTTATATGTATATAGCATTTAACGCTAGATACCCGTTACATATATTCAATCTGTTGCTCGATTTGTACCCGTCTCAAGAAAAGGGTAGTCGTGATCTTAGAGTCAGGTAAAAGATATTGTAAGTCTATTACTTGTGGCCCGTAGATAAAGGTCGAGTATCAAGTATTTATATTTTTTAATACTTATCCCATTATTCGATCTGTTTCTCGCTTTACTACACGACCCGTCCGGGTCGGGTCCATGATCCGCCAAATAAGCCTAGAATCCGCGTGTTTATCCGATCCACTCGTCCAAGATCCATGGGTATTTTACTTTGAAATTATGATTTTACCCTAGAACAATTATTTGAATTGCACGATTGATTGTAGTTTTGCCAATGGCAATCTATGTAATTCTTTACACTTTATAAAGTTATTTATTATTCAATGCTTCCCAATTAATAGTATAGATCATAGTCTACCTAGACTAATAAAATTTTATCTCTACTATTTTAATTTATGGGTTGACGACATCACCCAAGTTATTGCCAACCTTTTATCTCTTGATTTTTAACACAAACTAAATAACTTTGTCTTCAAGTGTATATCATGTTTCATAAGATTAGGATGGTGAAAACTAAATATACACCAAAAATTCTTATAATTTTATTTTCAAATATTTTATTTTTTAAACAAGTAACTAAAATTGATTAACTTTTGAAATAATTAATTATAAAAATTAATATGAAAATATTTATGATCTTATCATATTAATGAAGGCAAGTAAGCATGGCACATATGGTAAAATTACATTTCATGAGATTCTTACAAATTAACTGATATCAATTGGACAAAATCATACAAATAATAATAAATATAACTATTAAGATTAATTAAATTTATAGATGGAAAACTATGTAGATGTCATTAAAATTTTCATTTTCACGTTTTAAAAGCAATAAAATTTATAAATTGATT